TTAAACTTACTGCTCAAGTTGGGAACTGGGAAGCGGATTATACATAAGAAGAACGTGTGGATGCACGTTGTAATAGGACATTATATAAGGAAACATTTAGATAAAGCATTAGTTAAACACTAAACAGACAGTGATTACTATAGGATAATAGGGAGAAATTAAAAACAAAACAAAAGGAAATTAGGAAACTCTTCAAGATTACTTTCTTATGATTCTCTAGTCTTCAAACATGACTAAAGGATAGCAACAGGGTAATTACTACTAAACTAAGAGGCAAATGCCACTACTAACTTAACAAGGACTATTATTTAAACAGAACAAAACACAGTTTAGAATGAAACATTTTTTGGCTCAAAAAGGCAGGAATTGTTAGTGTCCCTCCTTTTCACATTCCTGTGGTTTATCATGTTCACATCAGCTAGACCAAAGAGGAGCCACCAGAATCAGCCTCACCACATCCAGAGAAGAGCCTGGAGGAGAGTGAATGTAGGAAAGGAGTAAAGCAGACCTTGGGGCCATGGGTGGGCCAGAGCGTCCCAGCCCAGAGGTGGATTGTCATTCTTCAGGGAGAAGAAGAGTTGACAATGCGCTGATTCTCTGCGCGTGAACAGGTTGGCTTCGGCCCTACCGAAGCAGTGCCATATCTCCTCCACCACCTGAGGGTGGAGCCCTCCACTCCCCTGGGTGGGGTCCCCCTCTTGACATGATGTCCGCTGCTGAGTGCTTTGGCCAAGAGGGTGGATATCTCTGTCTGCAGTACCTCTGAGTGACCAGGGTTGTTCACTGAGGTGAAGGTGGGGGACCTTGTCACCTGCGGTCTGTGGTAAAATTGTAACCGGCAACCGTGGGTCATGGTGGAAACCACCCACGGGTCCGCACCCAGAGCCAACCATGTTTTTTGCCTCTCTTTAGACCCTGAGGTGCCAGGAGAAACTGCAAGAAATCACCTGTGCCCAGTGGTGACTTTCCTGCTCCTGCTGCCACAGTTCAGCTGCATCCAGTCCAAACATAGCTGAAGGTTCTACTGGCACTGTCTCCACAGTCCCAGCAAGCAGCCACAATCTGCTTGCTGGAGCTGGGACTGTGGAGACAGCCACAGGTGGTGCCTTGCAACAGTGAAAGATGCCAGGGCCCTGTCTGCAGCTACTGCCTGCTCCTTCATAATGCCAGGACCCTGAACACTCCCATCTGTCTGTTTCAGTATCAGCCTTTCTACGCATTTTCAATCGGGGCTCCTCAGAAAGAGAGGGGCATGCTCGCTTTCTTTCAAAACAAAGGCGGCCCTAGTACATGTTGGCAATATAAAAAAATCCATGTATGACTGAGGGTTTTCCCTGGACAATATGGCGTGTTGTTGGCCCAAACACAGTACACACTGGTCATGGCCATCTTCAATTGGCAGAGGAATACTACAGCCCACACACTTATGTCCCTGTTGGCCTTCCATATCTAATAGCGGAGAGGGCTGGGGGGAGCACCCTTCTGCGTTTACACTTAGCTCTGAGAGGCAGCAGCTCGGCATGCTAACACAGGTACGCCCTCTTATCACTTTTAACTCTCTTTCTGTTTGTTTGAGATGTCAGGTGTCAGCCGACAGCCGTGGCATGCACGCAGACTATCGTCTTCCTTGAGCGCGTGAGCCGACAGCGCCGGCAATACGCTCGAGGGAGTTGCCGTCTTCTGCCGACCCCGGCTTTCAGCGGAGGCATTGTGGAGATGTTAGGCAGGAAAACAGAAGTGTCTGACTCATCTGTTAGCCGACTTGATGTCTGCGCTCACAATAATAACATAAACATTTTAAATGTATATAGTTGCGTTTCTTCCGTCCCACCCATGTGTTTTATTGGTCCCGCACAGTAGGGACAAATGAAACAATGCACACCTTTCGTTAAAAGTACAATTATACTGAAGTCGTTACACATTTGAACAAGATAGCACTTGGTATTAATAGAATACACACGTGAGTTGTTGAAGACAACAACAAATGATTTCTGTCTGTAATGTTATGTTTCAAAATGATGTATATCTAAAAAGTGTTTCAATCGTCTCGGCTATCCCCTACTACAACAGTGGTTCACTTCTTACCGGGGTAGATCGCCATGATAACTTATGCTGAACAGCTAACCTGCTCCAGAGCGGGTTATGTTCCAGATAAGAGATCAACTCTATGAAAACGCCGCCTAGTGACCAATCAGATCTCTGGAAAATTACATCCCACACTCTGTTTTATAGGCTGCTTTTATGTTTGCTGCGTTGATGTGGAAAACCTTTTATACAGTGATTTCATCCTACAGAGAAAGTTTGAAAGCCTTGCAAGCTTCTGTTGTACAGGTTTTTACAGTAAGCCTAGTAACTGCTTTGAAATGTGGTGACTTTACAAAGCACAAAATATCAACAGAACTAGCTTCAAAAACCTTGTGTTCATAAAATATCAAATTTGTATTCGGACAGTGACTCATGTTTGTCTTTTGCAATTCCAGTTATCAACTGCAATGTCAGAGCAATTGTTAACTTTGGCACCTGATTTAATTTGTCTTGTGTGAATTAGTTTTAGTCTCATTTAGTTGTGACAGCTGGCTACATTGTCAACAAATATTTTTCTGATGGTTTGTGTTGACGACATTAAAACTGGCTATTGTGCATATTCAGTTGCAGAACAACACCAGATTGGTTATTAAAGAATTGTGACCAAGATTTGTAACGAACAAACTAGCCTATAATGGAAAGGCTGTTGACAAATGACTCCAAATATATCTTTGACATTTTTTCTTACTTATCAGAATCACCTTTATTGACCAAGTATTTGTACAAATGCAAGAAATTTGACTCTAGTTTTTAGTTGTCTAAGTGTACTAACACATCTATCTGAGAGTAACATTTTACAGGAAGGTAGAAACAGACTAAGACACAAGTAAACATCAAGCATTTCCATTTAATGCTTCCTTACACTTTTACTCCACTACATTTCAGAGTGAAATATTGTACCTTAAAGCATATCAGATTAAGATTTTACATTTAAAAACATATCACTTTAGGATATAAAATAATATACAGTTTATACTGTAAGATTAAACTTGTGCTTTCTAAAGTTATAAGGCTTCTGCTGGGGCACTTTGTCACATTTCAGTAGTATAAAAAAAATTCCCATTTAAACTTTATATTTATTTTATATAATTATTGGTGGCCCGAAGAGGTAAAACTGTCCACTTATTAACTTATTTCTTCTCTTAGTGATCATCTCTAACTAACTGTTTAGAAAATATGTCAAACTAGCTAAATGTAGGCCTAGTTCAAACTTGCTAATTATTTATAATGTAGTTAAAACTAGCTGACTTTATAGAAAGTTGTTGAAAATAGCTCCATATAGATTACTTAGAAACTGTATAAGGTAGTTAGAAACTAGATAACTGTATATAAAGTAGTTAGAAACTAGCTAATTATTTATAAAGTAGTTAAAACGAGATGACTGTACACAGTAGTTAAACTGTAGCTAACTGCATATAAAGTTGTTGAAACTAGCTAATTATTTATAAAGTAGTTAAAACGAGGTGACTGTATACTGTAGTTAAGTTACAGCTAACTGTATATAAAGTCGTTGAAACTAGCTGACTGTATAAGAAGTTGTTGAAAATAGCTCCGTAGATGTATATAGATTAGTTAGAAACTATATAAGGTAGTTAGAAACTAGCTAACTGTATATAAAGTAGTGAGAAACTAGCTAATTAGTAGTTAAACGTAGCTGACTGTACACAGTAGTTAAACTATAGCTAACTGTACATAAAGTTGTTGAAACTACCAAATTATTTATAAAGTAGTTAAAACGAGGTGACTGTATACTGTAGTTAAGTTACAGCTAACTGTATATAAAGTTGTTGAAACTAGCGAATTATTTATAAAGTAGTTAAAACGAGGTGACTGTATACTGTAGTTAAGTTACAGCTAACTGTATATAAAGTTGTTGAAACTAGCTAATTATTTATAAAGTAGTTAAAACGAGGTGACTGTATACTGTAGTTAAGTTACAGCTAACTGTATATAAAGTTGTTAAAACTAGCTAATTATTTATAAAGTTGTTAAAACTAGCTTACTGTATACAAAGTTTTGGAACTACCTAACTGTATAAAAAAACTAGCTGTTAACTGTTGGTTAAAGCAAGCTAACTGTATAGTTACATACTATCTAACAGTAGGCTTTGACAATCTAACGTAGTTAAAAGTATATAAATGTATATAAACTAGTTAAAACTATCTGACTGTATATAAAGTTCTTAAAACTATCTAACAGTAGCCTATGACGATCTAACCATATATAAAGTTGTTTAAACTTTCTAACAGTAAAGAAGTTTAGCTAACAATATAAAGTAGTTGGAGTGGTGATGGAAAGGTGGATGGGACTGTGGTGTTAAAAACCTGGGTTCAATTCCCCACTGTGGCACATCCGCTAATGCAAGACACTGAGCCCCTAGTTGCTCCAGGCGGACAACCTCTGACATAGAAATTGTAAGGCATTTTGGATAAGCGTCAGCTAAATAAAGTATTTACCGATAAAGTACACAAAACGAGCTACTAGCCTATTTAAAACTAGCTCCACTTTCTGCAGTAAACTGTTGATCCAATATTGATGCATCAGCAACAATCTAATAATGTCAGCAGATTGATCAGATTTCAGTCAAAGGAGGCATTTTTCTGCAGGACCAGTACTTGGTGCAAGGAGTACAGGAATGCATTACAGTTATTTGAGCAATAGTAATAGGTGATACACCTACTACCAGGTGTGGTGTGTGTGAAAATAAGCACACACTGACATATCAGCTATAAGATAGCTTTAAATCCTCATCCTGATTCAGTGTTGTTTTTACACGTTGGTAGTTTTCCTGCTCTGTGAAGATACAGCAAAAACAATGTCAAACTGCTGGGCAGAGAGAACACAAAGGTCAACACCTCCCCCAAACACATGACATTTTTACTCACCGATGAGCTTCTGATTATAATAGAAACCACATTCCCACCAAACTTCAACCACAGAACTCCCATTATGATTATTATGGTGTGGATAGCCCTCAGCTTTGATTGGTCAACCTTTACCTTGTTCCCACCTGCTTCACCTGGCCGAGGGCGAATCAGAACGCGGAGAACAGTAAGGCTGCAAAATGTCATGACAACTAAGGAGAGGATTAGCATGGAGGCAGCGGACAAAACATTCTTATTGTGTACAAGTACAAGCAGGAAACCTGCCCCACCCAAGCACATCAACCAAACGCACCCAGTGGTGATGTTTCTGATCCTGACCCCGCCCGCCTGTTTCAGGCTCAGGTAAGTGACTGGGTGAACAACAGCCAGGTAGCGCTCCATGCAGGTCAGGATGGGGAAGAAAATCTGTGCTAACCAGCTGAAACACCCGATAAATGCCCCCACAGACGACCACAGTGGGAGATCAGAGTAGCTGCTGTAGTTGTAGAAGTAGTAGGCTGTGTACCCATAGGGCCCAATCAGCTCTATGACGGCCATGTTGTAGGTGAAGAAGTCAGAGTGGCTCATAACAGCTGCTGTAGAGACCGAGCGCTGCCGTGTCCATTGCTGGGATCCCAGATATAGGATGAAAACACAGAGAGGGATGACCAGGAGGGCGTAGGTGGAGGCGGCTGTAGAGAGAATGGCGATGCCAACTGGGTCAGAGCAAGGAAGCATGTCAGGAGGGAGGGAGGAGTTGGAGGGAGGATGGGAGGCATTAGTGAAGTTGACAGACATATTTATAGTAAGGATGCCTGAAGAGGAGGAGAAACTGGAGAGAGAGGGAGAGAAAGAGAGAACAATTCAGTTAATGTAAAATCTGAAACACAGTGCATGATCAAGAGATTACCTCACAACAATTTATTTATTTAAAAAAAAAATGTATCATTTAATTTAACGATTGAGCTCGAAAACCCCTTTTGCGAGAGACCTGGTCAGGAGGGCAGTATAACTCTCTGCCTGATTGGGAAAGCTGCTCATGTCTTCAACTTTAAGAGAACAAACGAGAGACATCAGAGAACCCAAATTTTTTATATCATTTATTCTTACTTCTGGAAATGTTCATTGTTGCTCTGGATTCAAACTGCCTTCACACAATGCAACACTTAATCCAGTGAATTTGTATTTTATGTAGCAGAAATATTCGTGCTGCATGCAGCATGAAATCAGATGGTTGCATGATTTACTGACTTCTTTAAAACCAACTAGAGTTTGTTTTTCTTTAATTGAAATAGGTGGTATTATGCTCATTTTCAGGTTCAAAATCTTAATTAGGGGTTGTACCAGAACAGGTTTACATGGTTTAATTTTCAAAAAACACCATATTTTTTTCTCATACTGCACATTGCTGAAGGTCCTCTTTTCACCCTGTTGTACGCTCCACTCTTGAGCTATAGAGTGATGCATCTTACTTGTACAAAATCTTTGTTGGGAGTTGCACATGTGCACGTTTGCTCAGAAGCTTTCACATCAGGTTTTAGGTCACATTAGCATTATAGCTATAACTTTAGCTGTGTTAGCCAATGTTTACAACAACTCTGCACTTGAACAGTCTGTGAAGTTACATTGCCGTGTTTATATTAAATATAATTCACAACCAATAAAGCATACTTACAGGTTGTGATTGTGAATTTCCAGGCCCAAACAGAGTCGGAGTTGCATCGTCTTTTAGGACTAAACGTTGAACTGTTGCCGGTGTTCTGACGATCTCTGCTGCCTTGCCAAAAAATGCTACCATAGCGCAGATCGATAGACTCGACTCTACTCGGCCCTGCTCCGTTTTCCGTTGCAGATGGTACCCAGAGATAGTACGTAGCTTGTCGTCATAGTGACACCACACACACCAGCAATCCAAACGTTTCAACATTACTCAGAATGTAAAGACAGATAAGCGGTATGAAAACCTTCCAGCTGTGTTTTCCTCTGCCGTTGTTGCTGCAACGGTCTGTGTGACAGCGGGAGCAGAGGGCTCTGTGAGCGGGCGGCCGTAAAACTGTCAATATTCGAAATCTATACAGCTGATTTCTCATCTCAAAACTTCTCAGAAGTGGATTTAGTGATGAAATTACATACGAAAACTGTAAAATATAAAACTTTCTGTTGCTGGCCTCTGTCTGGCGCACACAATGATGATGCAGTGAATAGTGAATATTCTCTCTGACCAATCAGCAGTCTGTCGTATTTTCACGTTATATTTTAGTTTCCCTCAGCTCGCTTGGAACCTCGATGGAGGTGAGGTAATACGAAAAAAAGTATCAGGAAGCAGGTACAGGTACAACATTTCTACAGTGGAAAACCAAACAAAGGCGAGTCGAGCCAAAGGGCCTCTGCTCAGACTAGCTTGGTTTGAGGGCGCGCCTGACCCCGCTAGCCGCTTGGCAAGCTTTATGAAGCGTTTTCATTGTGACGTCACAAGTAAAGGAAGTGAAGGGCTGGACTACAAACGAGCTGTTTTCAAGCAGTTCAGAGCAGTGCTTTCTGTGGGAGATGGGAACTCCCTTTGGGCTGGACTTTGGGCTTTTTCACTTTGCAAACCTGTTACATGTACAAAAAAGATATAAAAGTCAATAAAGGAGAGGCGAAAAGCCAAAAAGCATAATACCACCTCTTTAAACTGATACTCCAGCTGCTCAAACACTGGATTACTATTAAAGTATCTGCTCATTATGTGTCTCTACTGGTGTCATCCAAACCAACCAATTAATTTTAAAACATCAACAACTCTTGAACAACCTTTCTTATAATTTGTTGTGTTACCTCAGTGACTTCCTTTAAATCTTCACAAAAAACTAATTTCTATAAATCTGCATTTCCACATTCATTAGTCATTCTTTGCATTATCAGTTTTAACTTGTATTGAACCAGTCACTTCTTTTGCTAGCTCCTGTTTCCTCCCATCATCCAAAGAAATGCAGGTAGGTTAATAGGTGTGAATGTTGTGCTTGTGGTTGTTTGTCTCTATGTGTCCGCCCTGTGATGAACTGACGGTCTGTCCAGGGTGTACCCTGCCTCTTACCCAGTGACAGCTGGGATTGTTTACAGCAACCCAGCATGGATAAGCGGTTTTAGATTTAGCTTATTCAAACTAATGTATGACAAAATGTTCATACATTTACAGATTGATCTATAATTGACGTTTTCATTTATCATGTTTACATGTTTACACATAACATATTTATATATTACTGTGAATTTTAACTTGTGCCACAGGTTTGTTGTCAGGAATGGTATATATTTTCTCTAATTATAACGGACAGGAGATGATCTTGATGATGAGAGGACAAGATAACACTTTTTAGACCTTTTTTCTTTTCAGTCTATGGTTGTTGATTTTTTCCCCCAGCATGCAGTAGTAAGCATCTGACATTTTTATATGTGAAGTGACACTGTCAAAACTGATTACTCAATTTATAATAAGATGATAAAAACACCAACCTTTTCCAGTATTGTTTGCTCCTCCAGCGTCTGTGAAGTCTCTGACTGCTCTGTGTGGGTCTGTGGTCCAAACCTACATTAGTGTTTGTCTGTGCAAGACAGCAAGTCTGTGTTGTTTTTCATGTTGCAAAAGCAACAGCCATCAATCATTGTCTTTATGACTCTTGCAGTATGCAAATTGTTTGTCAGCGTGAAGGGTCAGCTATAACAGCAGCAGTGGGAGTGATGCAGTGCTTTGCCCAAAGGCACCTCTGTAGGGCAGAGTTGTGCGCACATTGGAAAGAATCAAAGTCTGACATTATTCTTTCAGCGTTGCTGATATGCAGAAATTGTACTTAAGTGCATTAAAATACACATATCTATGCACACAGATTTACATGTAAGACTCATTACTCTAATAAGACTGCAGCAGCAAAAAGTGAAACATAACAAGAGAGAGATTAGTCTTTTACCACCATCTTTTATTACACTGAAAAAAAAAATTTAATCACATATTATGTACAAAATTAGTTTAATTAACTAGGAAACGATTTAAAGTTGTTAAAGTTGTTGAAGATTCCTATATAAAATCAGTCTGTATAAAACACATGTCCGCCTTCTTGTGTGATCAGGGTACAACAACGAAAATAACCCTGAAAGTTAACATCTTTTGCTCACATACAGCGTGTGAGCAAAAGAATCAAAGAGCAAATCAAACGTCCACAAAATTACCACAAAACAACTTCAAAAAGACTAAAATAGACCACAAAGAAACACAAAACGACCAAGAAAACATTCAAAACAACCACAAGAAACACAAATTAAGTACAAAGACAGTCAAATTGACCACAATCACAAATGACTAAAAAGAAACACAAAATGAACACGAAAAGACAAAAAACTACCACAAAGGAAAACAAAATGCCCACAAAATGACACAAAACGACAACAGAGGTAATCAAAATGACCACAAAGAAAGACAAACGTCCCTAAAGAAACACAAAATTATTACAAATAAACAAAAACGACTGCATAGAGACTCAAATTGACCACAAAGAAACACAAAACGACCACAAAGAGATTCATGACACAGAATGACAAGAAATAGACTTGAATTGACTACGAAGAAACACATAACAACTACAAAGAGATTCAAAGTAACCACAAATCTTGTCTGTAATGTCCATCCATCGTCAACCACTTACCCCCCTGTACAGGGTCGGGCACACCTGGACAGGACGCCAGTCCATCGCAGGGCCACACATAGACAAACAACCACTCACACCTAAGAACAATTTTTTGAGACACCAAACTCCACACAGAAAGGCCGGGACAACTGGGGTTTGAACCCACGAACCTTCTTGCTGTGAGGCGACAGCGCTAACAACTGCACCATGTTTCAAAATTATGTATATCTGAAAAGTGTTGCAATCGTACCTACCACGACAGTGGTTCACTTCGAACCGGGGTAACTTATGCTGAACCTGTTCCAGATAAGAGATCAACTCTACGAAAACGCCGCCTTCTGACCAATCAGCTCTCTTAGAAAAATACATTACCATCTGTAGGAAATCCCACATACTGTTTTATAGGCTGCTTTTATGTTTGCTGTGTTGATGTGGAGAACCTTTTATACAGCGACATCATCCTACAGAGAATGATTAAAAGCCTTGTGAGCTTCTATTGTACAGGTTTTTACAGTAAGCCTACTAACTGCTTTGAAATGTGGTGACTTTACAAAGCACAAAATATCAACAGAACTAGCTTCAAAAACCTTGTGTTCATAAAATATCAAATTTGTATTCGGACAGTGACTCAGGTTTGTCTTTTGCTATTCCAAGTATCAACAGTAATGTGGATTGGACAATAAAATAAAAAAATGGGTAAACATTCATAACAAAATGTGTCATATTATTATTAGAGAAATTCACCTTGTTAGATGTTTTTTTTATATTCTCATTTAGGTCTTCCTGAGGTCACAAATAACTGGTGTCCAAATGTATCAATACCTCTCAGTGTGTGTTGTTTATGATGTATTTGAGTGAAGAACAGGTGACAGCAGGAGTGTGAGATTATTTGCAGGTTGGAAATTCAATAAGATTTTATCTTACTTTTTATGTTAAATTGCAGCAGGGACATTTCTGTTCCACACGGGGTCAGAGCAATTCTTAACTGATCTTGATTTATTTTGTCTTGTGACGAAAGTGTGAATTAGTTTTAGTCAAATTTTACTTGTTTGATCTTTTTGAGTTTCAATCAAAAGAAGTATGTAGTCTCATTTTAGTTGTGACAAATATGTCGTCAACAAATATTTTTCTGATGGTTTCTGTTGACGACATTAACACTGGTTAGTGTGCATGTTCACTTGCAGAACAACACCAGATTGGTTATTAAAGAATTGTGACCAAGATATGTAACGAACAAACTAGCCAATATTGCAAACGCTGTTGGCAAATGACCTTCAAATACATCTATATCTTAAATGCTATATGCTATATCATATATGAAATTTCTTCGTACTTATCGGAATCACCTTTATTGGCCAAGTATTTGTACAAATGCAAAAAATTTGACCCCAGTTTCTAGTTGTCTAAGTGTACTCACACATCTGTCTGAGAGTAACAATTTCCAGGAAGGTAGAAACAGACAAAGACACAAGTAAACATGAAGCATTTAATTTAATGCTTCTTTACCGCGGGGGTGTGGGGGTGCCTCCGCCGATGCATTGGCAAAACGGCCGTCAGCAAAATGCATGTTGCGGACTGTATATGACGGTGTCAGGTGAAAGTGCAACGTGTTTTCTGTCATCTGTCTTCCAACACCGCACGCACAAATGCCATAATGAAAATGAACAGCAAACTAAACCAACAGAAGGAAACAAAAAAGTAAAGACCCCTATCTACAACTTAGTTAACTTAACATAAGCTAACTAAACTAGAAAGACAAATCAATAATCAGACACAGAGAGACACGGAGAGACATACCTACTGTAAGTTCTAAGTAAATTATATGATAAATTGGTTAGCTAGCTCACAACGATGTTTATCGGTTTGATGCTCTGACTTAACGAGGCATGACAGTGCGCCTGCGCAAGCTTGGAGAATGACGTATGACTTATGGAATTACTATAGTCATACGTCATCATCCCGTTTTAACACCTTAGCAAACAAAATTAAGCTATTTGTCAAATAATATTTGGCAAGCTATGTGGGTAATCAACATTGAAATGAAATGACTAAGAAAAATATGAAATATCATAGAAATGTCAAAATACACTGGAGAGGTGCTTTAATCATCTCCAGCTAACTGTATAGAAAATTTATCAAACTAGCTAAATGTAGACTATGTAAAGTAGGTTGTAACTAGCTAACTGTATATAAATAGTTAAAACTAGCTGACTGTATAGGCTACAGTAATTAAATTACAGCTTAGTGTATATAAAGTTGTTAACTAGCTAATTATTTATAAAGTATTTAAAACTAGCTGGCTGTATACAAAGTTGTTGAAAATATCTAACTGTATATAGTTAGAAACTATATAAAGTAGTTAGAAATTAGCTAATTACTCAGAAACTAGTTAAAACTAGCTGACTGGATACAGTAGTTCAATTATAGCTAACTATATATAAAGTTGTTAGAAACTAGCTAATTATTTATAAAATATTTTAAACTAGCTG